AAGTTAAATTACCCAAATTAAATTAACCTAATTAATTAATGAAATTAAATATTTTATGAAAAAAAAACCTAATTCTAATATTTTGGTGTTTTTATGATTTAATTAAAAAACAATGATTTTTTTGTGAAATAATTAAAGCCAAATAATTAAATAGAAGAAATTAAAAGAAATAAAATGGGCCTGGTGCTGGAAAGAATTGAGGGGGTGCAGCGCTGAAATTGGTGTTAGGCCCAAAGCTGGTGGCCCAGAGGATCGTGCCTGATTCAGTGAGACCATCTTCTGAGGGTCTATCACGAGCTTGCGTATGCTGAGTATTGGATCTGGCTGGAGATGGATCCAACAAATGGATGATGGGAAGCGCTAGGTGGACCCTCAACAGAGTGATATGTTGGATCTGCAAGGAATATTCAAGAAAAATACAAAAGCAACACGCTTGCGATCGAACCCAGGATGTTTGCTTCAAACCCTCCGTCCTTAACCATCTGCGCAGGTTGTTCATTTGTTAATATAATAACAAAATAACATTATATACAACATAACGTTAACATCATAAAAACACGCGCGTAATTCAAATCTCCTAATGGAAGTTTTCCACCTAGCCTTCTTCTTCCTCAACACTGTCGTTTTAGGCTTAGACTTTTACCTACGGACAAAGTCTGTAAGTACAACCCTGCATCATTCAAAAATCCAGCACAAGCAATATAAATTATAATGGAGACCATGAATCAATTGGGCTTGAAGGCCTGAACACCATGGTATCCACGCCTAGCCCTAATTTTGCCTATAGAAGGAAACCCTAAAACGAGCTTGGAAACCCTAAGAATGGCAAACCATGATTCATGCACTTAAAACTCAATCAAACGATTCAGAAAGCATCAAAACCTTATGATAAAGAAGAATACATGATTAAATTTCATTAAAAACTCATGTATGCATGTAATCGAAAATCAAAAAGAGTTGGATAACAGAGTTGCAGATTTTATGATTCTGAGTGTTTTAGTGCGTGCAAAGGGTGCAGTTAGCTTCAGGAGGTTGTCAGGAATGGATTGCTGGCCTTGAAACACTTTGAATCACCATGTAGAATGAAATCTGATGCTCACTTTCCCCCCCAAAAAATTGAGTTCTTGCTCTTGCAGTTTACACGTCCAACCCTTGTCCTTGTGCATTGGAATTGTTTTGTATATGTAGTAAACTGAATTAGGTCAACAAAAAGCATTCATATCTTTGCAAATTATCAAGATTTGATTTGATTTCCTCTTTGCATTATTTCTTTCTAAATCAAACCAAATCATGCAATTCTCATCCCAATCAACCCTTTGCACAATTTGATTTTGTATGACAGCATAATTGGATTGTGATTCTATTCAAAATCAGATCAAAAACAAATCTTTACTAATTTATATCATTTATTTGATTTAATTTGATTTTTAAATGATTAAAATCAAAATAAATTAAATAAATAAAGCCAATAATATATGAGAGAGTGTTTGGGTCGTGGACCATGTTATAAATAAGATGCAAGCATAAAAAGTTAGGCCCATTTGACAAAAAATGCAATTTTGGGTATTGTTGACTTTTGACAATTTTCCAAAAATGGCCAACTTTGATAATGCATATCTCCTTCAATTTTGACCCTAAGAGGGTGTTCTTGGACTTTTTAGAAAGCTTAGGATGTCCCCTAAACAAATCTTTTAGTTTCATCTCAATTGGATCCTCCATGTTCATGTAAGAAGCTTTGACCCAAAAGGCATTTTTGTTGACATTTGAAAAGGACCCATAATGTATGAATTTATATCTTTTCATGAATGTATTTCTTGAACTTGAGGGATGAAGATGAGTTGTAGGTAATTTAATTCTCTTCAAAATGATCCTTGGATGGGAAATTTATAATAAAGTATGAGAAAGTTATGCTTGGTCAAAGTTTGGTTGACTTTTCCTGAGAAACCCTAATTTAGCAACTTTTGAGTTTTGATGAATTAGGAGCATTTCTTGGGGAATCATGATCAACCCTTGATCAAATGATGGGTATTAATTCAAAATGTTTATGTTGACCAAAAATCTTGAAGTTTGACTGCATGTGAGTCACATTTTACTTTTGACCTAACACAGTTGATTTTCAGGCATTTGAGCAGTTGACTGAGCAAACTTCTTGTGCAAGGCATGAAACTTGGCATGGATGATCTTGAGAACATATTAGTACCATGGAAAAGGTTTGAGACCTTTGGAGTTCACCCATCTTTATGAAAATGGAAACCCTAGTTTAAGGTTCATTGTCTTAGGAGAGCATTTGCCTGATCAATCCTTGGGCATCCTTGGGCAAGTTGAGGACTTCAATGAACATATATTGAGTAAAATTGGAGGGAAAATTTTGGGGTACAACAGAAATATTTGGTCGACGCATGATTAAAAGTTGCTCCTTGGGGAAGTCTCAGGTTTTCTTACATCGACTGTGTGGTTGACTTAACCTGGGAGTAATTTTTAGGAACTATGCGTCAACACATAGCCCTGGAGAGGTTGACGCACGGATTGAAAGTTGCGCCTTGGGGAAGTCGCGGGTTTGCTCACGTCGACTGTGTGGTCGACTCAACCTGGAAGTAATTTTTAGGAATTATGCGTCAACGCACAACCCTGGAGCGGTCGACACATAGATCGCGCACTTTGTCTTCTGGCACTCTCAGGAATGCTCAAGTCGAGTTTCCTTTTGGCATAGGTCGACCGTTCGCTCGTTAAATCTGTTTTTCAACTTGACAGTTTGGGTTTTGACTTCAGATAACATATATAATCTTGTAAGGTTCTATTATTTGGTTTTCAACAAGAAAAGTGAAATAGATACACAAGGTACTCATCATCTTCAACCTCTCACTCATCCATTGATAACTACACATAATATTTTTTATCGATCAAGGTGCAGAGTGTGTGTTGATAATGTCTGAAGTAGAAGATTGCAATCTTGTTCAGATTGAGTAATTGTGGGTTTTTCTTGGATAAAATATGAGGGTTTTGTCCTCCAAGATCATTGGGATTTGGGGTTTTTTGATAATTCTTTGCTTCAAATTTAGTTGTGCTTAAGGGATTGAGGAACCGCGGGTTCGCTTGACAAGGTAGCTACAATCAGAGGATTGTGAAGGAAGAATTGGGGTCACCATCTTGCGATTAAATCAGCCGAGCAGAGGGTTTGAGAAACGGTTTGGGTTCTCAACAAGGTAGCTACAACCAGAGGTTTATCAAAGATTGGTGACATACTTGGTTCAAATCGAATCAATGGAAGAGAGGAGCTTAGTTTTCAATTCAACATATTGGGTTTGAATTGTGGTGACTATTTTCTATCTCTTGTACAAACTTTGCAATCATAATAGCAATTATCCTAATTCTACATTCTAGAATTAGGGGCAGAGTACCCTACCCGAGGACGACAGGGGGAACTGTCTAAACAAATCGCGTGTCATTTTTCTTTCTCGTCTTTTATCGTTTATTTGCTATAATTTGTGAATTTGTACTTGTGGTTCCAATTGTCTGAATTTGTAGTGTGATAGAACTATTGCTAAGGATTATAGTAATCACTTTGATTGCTATAATTAGTATTAACACTACAAATTAAGATAGATTGGACTTGGTGTAATTACACACACCAAGTGTTCGATAAAAGTCCAAAAGTGTAAATTTGTGGGTTTTATTATCAAAAATTCATTGGAAGTAATTGACAATAGTTAAAGAGTATAAGTAATCAATTATAATTGAATTAAGTGTTAATAATTCTCATTGATTCATTCCATTCGGTTTTACGCATATCCGGTCTTTCCAATAGAGGATCGTTTTTAGACGAGTGTATCCGGGTAGCTTTCACTGCATTTTAAGTTTTCATTAAAAACTCTTTTTTAAAAATTACGGTATCTATTTAACCCCTCCCCCCTCTTCTAGATACGTCCTATCATCTAACAAAATGAACATATTGAGGCGGGGGAGAATGAAGAGGCGTGGAAGTGGTGTAGGAGGTTGTTTGCTTGGGAGGAGGAGTTAGTGGGAGAGTGCATTGAGCGGCTAACCTTCGTTGTTTTGCAGGTGAAAGTAGAAGATCGTTGGACATGGACTTTACATCTCTCTTCTTGTTACACGGGTAGTAGTGCATATAAATACTTGTATGAAATTGATGCCACCAACAATCACGCTAACTCCCAATTTTGAAGTTTGAAGAGTGTGCTGCTTAATTTAACTATTTTTGGTTGGCGATTGTTTCTCAATCGTATAACGGTGAAGGAGAATCTGGTTAGGCGGCGTATTCTTGTTACATATGATCATCGATATGTGGCAAATTGTGGAGTGGCTGAAGACAGAGATCATTTGTTTGTAACATGTGATTTTTTGGTGGACTGTGGACTATTATTCTTAATTGGTTAGGATTCTTAACGGTACTTAAGGAAAAGTTATAGACCACTGGTTGCAGTATGCTGGTCTTGGTGGGTACTCGAAAAATAGAAGGTTGCCTTTTAACACTATTTGATTTGTTGTGGTGTGAATTATTTGGAAAGAGCTTAATAGGTGTATGTTCTAGAATAAAATGGAGAGTAAAACTTCATTCGTATTGGTGGTTAAAATCGAAATATATTTCTTTCGATTATGATTACAAGTTATAGAGGTTAAATCTTTTATATCATCTCTTGTGTAGTTGTTATTTATTTTTGGTGGTTTTTTGCATTATATTCTTGAACACCTTCTTGTTATTTTTGATTTTCAGTAGATCTTCTCCAGTGAAATGACTTGTTTTATATATATACCAAATACAATAACATGATTCAAGCCATATCATGAGTATTCAATGTGAAACCAACATAAAACAAAAAATAAATATAATAAAATTTACAACAGTATATAATGTGTATACAAGAGAAAAAGTTGTTTTAGAACATAAAATAAAAGAACCTGGCATCCGTTTTTATTGATTAATGTAACCTTTTCTACTTTTTAATTAGTTGACTAGAAAAAGAAAAGCAGTTTGATGATTATTATAATAACTCATCAATCTTGGACTTGATAGGCAGCACGGTTTGATGATCTACTAATCCAGAAGACATGAGCTGCTCAAGATTTCTCAAACGATCTCTGATTTCAGGAATTCTCATATGAATATCAGCAATCTCCTGTTGTTTCTGAGCCAATGTTACCAATTCCGATTCCAGCTTTTCTCTCAAGGATTCCATTTCACGATCATTGTTAGCCTTTTCGATCTCCATGTCTTGATGTCGACTAATGACTTCAATATTCTCAGCAATTTCATCTAGCGTGTTACGCAACCATGCGACGCGAAGATGAGCAGATTCAATATCCTTAACAATATCCAACAACTCGTTCACTTTGGACTTGGTTAATGAATCGGAACAAGATTGTAATTCTTGTACCACAAAACATACACATTCCATGTAATATGAACGCATTACAACTGATTCTAAATCGCAGCTTGCACCGATATCGCCATACTTATCGAGTATTGTTTGTAGAATGGAACCAAAACTTTCTTTGACATTGTATTTTCCGATTTGAATACGAGATTCAGATATCACACTATCCGTCTCTCCATCACTACTTGTTTCAACCTCTTTGTTGTTGTTGTTGCTGCGAGAATAAGTAGTAATTGGAACAATTTCATCAGAAGCAACAACTTTTCCCTCAGCAACACTATCCTTAACTGGTTCTTCAGACAGTACCATAACATTTGGAATGTGTGATTGAGCAGAAATTGGTCCAGAAGAAGGAATGATGTCATCCTTTTTTGACTCTATCTCTTTGTTCTCAGAGTAATGTGGTTTTGTTGATGAAGCATTGGAGAGATTATTGGTTGGTGGAAGACTGTGAAGAATAGGGGGTTCTGGCTTAGAACCCATCTTCTTCCTCTGATCAATCTTGGAATGAGGAGTAGCACCTGCAATCCAATTTGTAATAGAACAAAGTTACCTGGTGTTTCAAAACACTAAGTATAGGTAAATTAAATAACCTAATTATAAAGAAGAGAGTTTAACCTGAATTGGATGATGAATTGTTGTTGCAATTGGCATCACATGTATGATAAGGATTAGAAGCTTTAGGACAAGCAGGATAAGTTCTTGTTTCTCCATTACTTGCCTTTTTACCGAGATCACCATGTGTAAAACTTCTCCCATAAGTTGAACTAGTTTTTCTATTAGATTGTGGTTTGTTTCCCTTTGTGTTTTGAAAACAAGCTTGTGTGCATTGATGGTAAGGGTTTGAAGCATTTACACAATTACTACTGTTACTAGACATCACCTAAACAGCACAATCATGTGTTAAATCTAATAATCCAGATTAAAATAAGCAATAAAAGGAAATAATTAAAAGCAATTAACTCACATCCATAGTTATTATCAAGAAGAATGAGGGAAAGTGAATGAATTGAGAAAGATTGAAAAAGATGAAGCGTGCATTTATTGGGCATTTTCCATTGGACTGTATGTATGGGGGGTAGGCGTGACGGGTCTAACATTGCAACGTTGACGAAATGGAATTTCCATGCTGACCATTTGACAAGTTTAGACTTTTGCATAAATCATGCTATACGTATACATACTATGTCAAAGTTCTTTGTCTTCTAGATACTCACGTGGATCTATTCTTTTTATAGGTGGATATTCCTTACAAATGGGCACTCCTGGAAACCATTGAATGAAAATAAGACTATAAGCAACCAACATGACTTTTGATCGATCTCGTACAATGAATTATATCATGCAGTGTGAACAATATTTGAGACTTTTACCAAGTATTTCTAGTTGCTTTAGATTTCCAACAAAAAATATGAATCTAATAATTTTTTTGTCAAATTATTTTTGCAATTTTTGCCAAGTATTTTGAAATAATTCATTTAATAAAAAAACATCAACTTTAGATATATCGTTGTTTAAAATAAAATATTTGCAATCGAAAATAAGAAGATGTGATAAATTATATCCTAGAGTTTTGTCTAAGATATGAGGTATAAGTATCCTATTTAAGATATAACATGTCATGCCAAAAATATTTAGTTAGAGAATTATCATTGAGCGTTGTTCTTGTCAACTCTTCTAAAAATACGATTTTTGTGCTCTACAACACCATTTTGTTGTGACGTCCTAGGAGCTGAAAAATTATGTTCAATATCATGTTTATCACAATATTAATCAAAGAGGTGATTTTCAAATTCACCTTCATGATCGCTTCGAATAGAAACAATTTTCAAATTTAATTTATTTTGAGATAACCTAGCAAAACTTGTGAAAGCCACAAATGTTTCATCTTTGCTTCTTAAGAAAATGGTCCGACAAAATCTAGAGTAATCGTCCATGATAACAAAACCATAATAGTTTTCACCTGGATTTTTGGTCTGTGAAGGACCAAATAGGACCTAAGAGATCCAAGTTGAGAAGCTCAAGGAGTCTTGACGTTGAAATAATATTTTTAGATTTAAATGAAACCTTTGTTTGCTTGTCCATTTAACATGCTTCACCACTACAAAAAAGAAGCTTATTTGCCACGTGAAAATCATGTGGCAAACATCAAAATCACGTGACAAAACAAAAATAACGACGTGGAGAGATATGTCGCTGGGGAGCCAGTGGCAAGCCAGTAGCGACGTGATTCCCATGTCACAAAGTTGTGACGTGGTATTCACGTCGCAAAAGCTTTGTTTTAGGGAATATACAATCTGACATACAGCAGCTTTAGTTGCGACGTGAGAATCATTTCACTAATTTGTGACATGATTTCCACGTCGCTACATGTGACGTTTTTATTTTTAAAAAAATTGTTTAGTAATTATTTTTATATTAATTAATTTATGTAATAAAATTTAAATAATAAAATTTATATAATAAAATTTAAATAATAAAATTTATATAATAAAATTTAAATAATAAAATTTATATAATAAAATTTATATATTAAAATTATTAGAATAATAGTATTTTATTATATATTCGAATAATAGAATTTTATAAAATAAAGTCATATAATAAAATGTTATATAATTTAATAATTTAAAATGATAAAAATAAATATCTTACATAAATGCAAATTTAAAAACGAAATAAATAAAATGTTTTCACGGGGCATCTTCACCCGGATAATTATCAAGATCAAAATCATCAATTCCGTCATCATCTGACTGTGTATCAGGAACATTTTGATTTCCACCACCTTGCATAAACCGTCTCATCTGCTCCTCCATATCAGATTGCCTCTTCCGCATGATCTCTAACTACTGCTCCTGCTCTTGCCTCATTGTCGTCATTTGGGCCTCCATTTCGCGTCTCACTTCACACTACAAGAAAAAAAGAGATTTACGACACATAAATTGCGACAGTTCCCACAAAACCGTCCTTATTCCTGAATTGCGACAGTTGTCACGACGGTTAGGCTCAACCGTCGTAGATTTTCAAGCATTATTCCTGAATTGCGACAGTTGTCACGACGGTTAGGCTACTTTTTTTTATTCTTTTACTTTCCCACTTTTTTTCAGCAACACAATATCATAATATCAACACAATATCATAATATTTTCAACAACTAATATTTATTATTAAATTATAAACAAAATACAACAAATAAAAATATAAAAAAACAAAATAGGAGTAACAAACAAAATTGAAAGAGGATTAGGTTTTGTGAAAGAGCTTTTTATCCGATTGAAGCAAAGAACCACCGCCGGAAGTACGATGTTGCGCCTAGAATGGTGAAGCTTCCATTCTTCGATTCGACTCAATCTTCTTCATCTTCTGCGCGATCTTTGTATCATCCGAATATCAAGGTATATAAATTATTGATTCAATCTTCTTCTACTTCTTTTCAATTTTCTTTCGATTTTACCGTGGTGATGTGTTTCGGTTGAAGTTGCAGAATCAGTTGCATTGATGAAGATGATGAACGAATGAAGTTATTGATTCAGTGAAGATGCATTGAGGACGATTGAAAAACGGAAGGTGATGATGCTGTTTTGAGATAACCAGAAGGTGAGTTTTTCTTTCTTTCTGTGAATCTCCTTCTGAGTTTTTTGTGTGATTTTCTGATTGAATGAATCGTGAGCCAAGTGAGAGAGTGAAAGTTTTGTATGATGTAAAGGACTTGTGATGATAATGGTTTTGTAATGCTTGTGAACAACTTGTAATGAACATGATAGACTACGGTGGCTCCATATTCAGAATTTCAACCGCCGGTCACTGCAATTTGAGTGTTCATTCAGTATATTAAATCCATCCTCTTTGTCGAGAAAGGGTCTTGATGTTCATACTGTCCATCTCCATAGGCTACTGATGCGCTTTCAACATTTAGAGTCTTTATCCTTATGTGGTTGTACGGAGCTCAATGATTCAGGATTAACCCGTCTGCTAAGCTATGGTTCGAATTTACAGAAACTTAATCTAGATTGTTGTTTGAAAGTTACTGATTACGGGCTATCCCTGGTTGCTTCTGGTTGTCCCTCATTGACGTCAATTAGTCTCTATCGGTGTATCAACATTTCTGATGACGGATTAGAGACTTTAGCCACTGCTTGTTTATCTTTGAAATGCATAAACCTCTCGTACTGCTCACAAATATCCGACAAAGGGTTGAAAGCTCTTACTCAGAGGTGTCGTCAGCTTCAGGCAGTTAACATATCACACTGTGAGAGTATAAGAGGTGTTGGCTTCAAAGGGTGTTCAAAATCTCTCACACATGTAGAGGCTTGGTCTTGTAAGCTCAACCCAGAAGGGGTGACGGGAATAATTAGTGGCGGTGGTATAGAGTATCTAGACGTATCTTGTTTAAGTTGGTATCCCTTAGGAGATACCTTGCTTGGAATAAGATTGTCCTCAAACCTCAAAGTCCTTAACTTTCGAATGTGCAGATCTGTTTCCGATACTTCTATTGTTGCAATAGCCATGGGATGTACACTACTTGAAGAATGGAACTTAGCATTATGTCATGAGGTGAGGATATCTGGATGGCAAGCAGTGGGGTTATATTGTCAGAATTTGAAGAGACTGCATGTTAATCGATGCCGTAATCTCAATGATAATGGCCTGCAGGCATTACGAGACGGTTGCAGAAGTCTCTCGGTTTTGTACTTGAATGGTTGTGTTCACGTGACTCCTTTTGCATTAGAGTTATTCAAGTCTCACAGAGCAAATGTTTGTATAAAGGATGAAGAGGTAATGTGCATCAATCCTTACTCCCCATTCAGATGATACTGACTGGTACAGAATTGTCATCTCCCTAGAGAAAGGTCTGCATTCAGCTGAGTATTTACCAGTTGTTTCAAAAGGTCTTTATTTGTGTATAAAATGTATTTTAAAACTCGGGGTTGCTTCTAGTTATACATTACTTAGATGCTACCTGGTATAGATTTTCACCTGTCATAAATATTTACACATAATTCTGGTATTGAATTCGATAGAGGTACATTAGTATTGTAATTTGTCATTTATATCACGTAATGATCTCAATACATAATGTCACTTTGAGGACAAGTATGCATTTTCCAAAGATGTTCTTGATTACAAAAAAGATTGTTAACTATGTAGTTCTTGATTTGTTTAATCCGATAGCAAGCTGAAGTGTTGTGTCTGGACATTAAACAAGCTTCACACTAGTCTGTGTTACAATTTTCTATGAATAACAAAGCATCAAATAGTTCACGTTTTAAGTTGTTGCAACATTAGAGCTAAACTTGTCAAATAGGGACTATGTCCAACTTCATTATATGTAAAAACAAGTTCCGTCAAATCTCAAAAAAGGTAAAATTCAACATTTATAAAATGATATTGAATATAGTAAGTTCCCGACATGTTCCATTGATTCATTGATTCTATCCAAATGCACAACTTTCTTTAGATCGTTGTTCCACAATCTTTCCCTTATTTGCTTAGTATCATTATCAACAAAGAACATGAACGTCTATCCCATACCAAGTTGGATTCAAATTAAATTTGAATTTGACTTGAAATTTAAATTTATTCACCTTACTATTGCTCCTGCTACTCTTATGTTTGATGCAGTTGCCTCTGTAAAAGCTATCTTTCAAAGCATCAATTCACCTCCCCAGCTAGGTTGGCCTGCTAATGGGGTTGATCCATGTGGCCAGTCCTGGAAAGGCATTACTTGTTCAGACACTCGTGTAACTCAGATGTATACTTTCAATCTTTGCTTTTATTACTATTATTATTATTCATTACTCTTGCCGCCTCTTTCTCATCACTATTCTTTTCTTATTAATCATTAGCAACTTATCCAATCTTGCTCTAACCGGGACATTGCCTTACGGATTAGACCGCCTCACGTCTCTCACCAATCTGTAAGATTAATTGCCTCCATTCACCACATTATCCATTTTTATCTGAAACATT